CATGATGCAATGATCAACTCCCTCCTACCCTAGCCTGGACCAATCAATAGAGCCCATGACCCCAACTTCCTTAGCTACCACGACTAATGAGTTTTCTCTATATAACCTATACCCTAGAGGCCATCAGGGAGCCAGGTCTTTGAAAGCTAGCTCACCTGCATCTCCGGGTTTGGCGTCATTTCCTGAAATAAACCTCTACTTTCTCTGCTGCAAAATAAATAAATAAATAAAAATAAAAAATAAAATAAAATAATTTAAAAAATCAGTGTTCACTCTTCATCATGCTCCTTGATGCCGCACTTTCCTCTTTTTTAAAAAAAAAATATTTAAGATAGTTCCAAGTATACAGTACATTGGTTAGACATCTATATAGTTCATAAAACAATCCCCCCAATCGTTCCCTCCCCTGGCCCTCCACCTAGCTATCATATTAATGCTAATTGATGCTATACTTTTCTGGTTCTCCCACTACTTTGCTAACAGGCACCTCTTCCTCAGATTTCTTGGCTGGCTTTCACTCCACTTCCCGTCTCTTTAACTGCTCTCCCATCCTGGGTGATCTTCTCAATCCATTACTGTCACCGGAAGAGTGACTTCCAATGCTAGGTCATAAAAGACATTCTGTTTCTGTCTTGCTCTTCTTTGGATTGCTTGCTCTAGGGGAAGTTAGCTGATCTGTCATGAGGACACTCGAGCAGCTCTATGCAGAAGCAGACATGACACGGAACAGACGCCTGTTGCCCACAGCCAGAGAAGAACCGAGGCCTTTGACAACAGCTATGTGAGTGACCCATCTTGAAAGTGGATCCCTGATCCAGTCAAGCTTTCAGATGAGTGCAGCCCCTACTGATGGCTTGACTGCAACCTCCTGGGAGATCCCAACCCAAAACAACCAAACTAAGTTTTTCCCAGACTCTTGACTCTCAGGAATTATGTTAGACAATAAATGTTTGTTGCTTGAAGTCGCTAAACTTTGGGGTGATTTGTTATGCAGCAATAGATAACTGATACATCCATGCCTACTTCTCTGACTTCATCTTTCTCACCATGCTCTCATTACATCTGCCTACCTATTTGCCCTTGAAATATATCAGATTTGACTATGGCCCTTGACCTCATTGGTCCCTCTGGATAAATTCCTGTTACCCTGGGTCTTCTCGTGCCTGGCTCCTTCCTGTCATTCAGTCTGTTTCGCCCATTCATTCTAAGTTAACCACTTTCCCATCGTCACCCTAAAGAGTCTCCATCACACTACTCTATTTTATTTTCCTCAAAGCGTTCATAACTAACCATCGTTAATTGTTTCATTGATTTATTTATTCATTATCTGAGCAGGAAAATGCTTTCATATGTACCATGGCAACCTCTGTGCCTAGAAAAATGTAGGGGAAAAATTGGTACTCAGTAAACATTTCTTGCTAAAACAATGAATAAAATCATTTTAACATTATTTATTGGAACCATAATCCTTAAGAAGATTTCATCAATTTAGAGGTCAGAGTCTAAATTTTTTTTCTACCGCATATGTTTACCTGACCTGTTGACCTAGCATATCACACCTATGTTGACCTAGAATGTCACAACTATGTTTCAAAGGAAAACTAAATTTAAACATAGCTATGAGTGCAGAGGGGAGGCCAATAAAGGTTGTGGGGAGAAAGGTAGGTCACGAGATAGATCAAAGTTTACAGAGCTTATAGTTGCGCTGACTCATAGCTGCCTTAGTCCAAGCAGCTCAGGTTGGCAGAATGTTTCTAATATATATTCTTCAAGAAGATTTTGGAAAATTGACAAGTTACCATATATAATGGCTCACATCTTGACCCAATTTCCCCAATACAGTCACAGAAATTAATATCTACTTTCACTTCACTTATATATACACACATATGCATGTATGTGTATGTATTGTATATATATGTGTGTATATATATATATTGTGTGTGTGTGTGTGTGTGTATTTTATATATATATAAAATCTTTCCGTAAAAATGGTGGATAGTGTAAAGATCAAACACCAAATGTAAACTATTTTATAAGAAACATTTTCATGTTTTTGTATTACAGATTACCCAAGATCGATATTCAAAATATTTCAAATCTGATATAATATAAGTTAAGATATAAATCAGTATATATACCAAAAATGTTTCCAATTATTTTCTAACAAAATTATGTATAGCAAAAAAATGCATAACGCTGTAGTACAAACCAGTCACAATCATTGTAATCATTACCAGTCATTTACGATTTTTATAAACAGTCCATGTGTCCTGGGGCTGTTTGGATTGGCCTTAGGTGCCTTCCTCTGTGAAGGCCATCGACTCCTGTTGTGGTGGCCCTTTCCTGCCTCTATGATTCTTGGCGCATTCCTCGGTCTCTCTACTGCTTTCTGCCCTTGTCCCATGGGGAAGTAGAGGCCTCATATGTACCACGGCTAGCTCTAGAGGGGTTCACTGTCTTTTGTGATATCTTAACCTTACCCCAAGGTTTGTAAATAGACATTTCATTAAACTCTCCTCAGGTACACTTTTTGAGTTAAGGTGATATCTTCTTCTTATTATTATTCATAGCACCAGTGATGATAAGATAAATCTTATAAAGTTTACTTCAAGATAATAAAAAGGATTATAAAATATGTGTTATAAGCTGAGGAAGGCTGGGTGCGATGAAGTTGAGAACCTCTGCTCCAAAGCAAGGGTAATCGAAGATATTGTTGGAGGTGTGTATAAAAAAAGCCTCTCCTCGTAAATCTCTTGAGGGGTCTAGAGCTGCATAGAGTAGGTAAATGTGCAAAGGGAACTGGAAGCCTCCTGGGAGGGCAGGTCAGGACATCTTGGTTGGGCTCAGTTGGCCTAAAGCTGCGTAGACATAAAGTAGATGAGGCATGTATCCTGTGTCTCTGTCTGCCGCACCCCACTCAACTGTGGGGAAGTTCACACTGTGAAAATGGGTAATCAAGACTAGGGCCCTGGGCTCAACCCCATGAATCCTAGATTTCCTGACAGAGCCCAAGTTATGAGCTCAGTATGTGGCTGAAGCTAGAAATCACTCAACCCCAGCCTCTTCTGCACAGAGACATGCCAGGGGGGAAATGTGTATCTCGATCTATAGTTTGAGAACCCAGTCCTGAGTGACAGTAGGGAGGGAGACTTTCTCTTTCTTCTCTCTGCAACTATAGAGGATGAGGCTGCTGCTACTTGGGTGGGTACAGGGTGGCCAGTGTTTTGACTGAACCTCCTCAGATCAGGAAGTCTATGGGACTAAAGGCACTCCGCATGGCAGGAAGGGCGACAAAGATCAGGTATAGCAGCAGAGGACTGGCGGCATTTTCTGTTGGTGTCAGGACTACTTGCCTCCTTGACTAGAGTAAGCCCCTGATGATTTGATTTAACATGGGAAAGAGACTCCAAGGGTGGGGGAAGAATGTTCTTGCTCTTCTGTGATGGATGCTTGAGTGACTTAAAATAAATATTTAAAAGATATGATATTATTATATATGTACATCAGGCTGGCGCGTGACTGTACTTCAATGGTTCCCTATTTTTCTTAAGACAAAATCCAAATTTTTTGCCATGGCCTTCGAAGACCTTAGGCCTCTGGGCCTTGCACCCTGATCTCACCTCATCGTCTCCCCTCCCCCCTGAGTAATGTTCTACTAGATCTAAGTCAAATACACCATGCTCAGTCTCTCTCTTTCTCTAGGTCATTGACCCTTCTGACTTTCTGTCTGAATTTCATCCCTGCTGCCCAACTGAAGTTTTACCCACTCACTTCACTAACAAGTTGTTTATCATTTAGATCTCATGTCAGATATGACTCCCTTCCTTGAGAAACCATGACTGACCCACAGATTCTGGCAAGGATATTTGTATCACGTTCAGCAGTGTCACACCCCTAGCATGGTGTTGTACATTAAATTGTGTCCTCTAAAAAAGATACGTTAGAGTTCTAACCCTGGGTACCTGCGAATGTGACTTCATCTGGAAACAGGGTCTTTGCATATGGAATCAAGTAAAGATGAAGTCACACTAAATTAGGGTGCACCCAAATCTCATTCCTGCGTATCTTTATAAGAAGAAGGAAATCTGGATAGAGAGAGACACACACAGGAAGGGTGCCATTTGGCAACAGAGGCATAGACTGGAATTACGCATCACCAAGCCAAGAACTGCAAAGGATTGCCCACAACCATCAGTAACTAGGAAGAGGCAAGGAAAGATCCTTCTCAAATTCCTTCAGAGAAAGACCATCACCCTGCTCACACTTTAATTTCGCACTAAGAGCCTTCAGAACTGCAAGAGAATAAATTTTCATTGTTTTAAGCCACTATATTTGTGATATGGTGTTACAGCAATCCTAGGAAATTGATATACAAAGCATTGGATTGGAATTACCTATTCTTTTGTTTCTCTCACTAGAGTGAACCCCATGAGGACAGACTATATCTCACTTATTCGTCATTATTTACCTAGATCCTAGAACACTGAATATCATATATTAGACATAAAATAAATATTAGTTCCATAACTGAACAGGAAAAAACACTTTACCTGAAGGAAAATGGTCTAAAAAAACAGAGAAAAAAGTTTTTATGTTGTGGGTCAGAAAGGCATCAGAATACAAAAGGAAAAGATTCTTTTTGTGTAACTGAGTGTCAAATTAATATTTCTACTTAACTCTTTTTGACAAGGTGTATGATAGCTGTTACGTGAAAGTTTTTCAAATAGATCAAAGAGTCCACAAAATTTTTTCTCCCTTTATTTATTTTTAAGTCAAAGAGACAACTTAGGACTATATCATGATTTCACATTTGACCAAAACAAAATAGATTGCTTTGAAAGTAAATCTGCATAGTTGATTTATAATTAAATTAGCACTTACAGTTTGGAAATGCTTCTTAGTCTCACAACTGGCAGGATTTAAATCTAGGAAGACCAATTCATTGTTGAAAAACGTCAAAAGATTGGTCCTGCTTGTGCTGGCTGTTCATTACTGCTCTATTTAATATTGAAAATCTTTTTGACTTCTTCTAGTGTTTTCGCATCCGTGGGAGGCTTCCTCTGGCTGCCAGGCTGCAGGAACTTCTTCACAGTAGGGAGGTTGCTGATTCTGGTTTTCAGGGCCTGCAACGCACAAGACACAGTCTCAGAGTGGAGACAAAACACACACCCCGTCATTAGCACAAGCCAGGGATCTGAGACCTTCCTAGACAAGGACCAACAGAGTCCCCTCCATCAGTACCAGCGTGAGGCTGGGAAACAGATGCCCAGAGAGACAGAAAAGAAGAGGAAGAAAATATAGCTCAGTAGCACTTTCCCTAGAGATGCCTTTGTTTAAAACTTTACTTGGTTCACAGTCTTCGCTACTTTCTTCCCATTCGGAAACCCTGTAGGTTCATCGCTCTCGTGCAGCGCAAGGAAGAGGAATATGTCTGTCAGATCCCAACCCAGATAAAGTGTCCAAACCAGAAAATGAAGATATGGGAGAATTAGCCTGGAACTGAAGACAGAAAATATAAAAGCCAAACCAGGATGACAGTCAAAACCAACCTGCCCTGTGAGAGAGGCACAGAGCAAGAGGGGGCTGTGCGGAGAGAAACACAGTGTCTGAGAGAAGGAGCAAGAACTGAGGGAAGGAAGTTAGGGGAAGGAGAGCTTCCTGGAAGGACTCAGGTGATAACGAGAAGGACACACCTGGGAGAAAGGCCATCCCAGAGAAAAGGACAGAAATTGTAATGAAACAGGGGCTGAGGAAAGAGATGCCGAGTCCTGTGTCCTTCTCTTTGTAAAAGACAAACTATTCTTCACGGGGCAGCATCACCTCCAACTTCCTTGGGAAAACAAGATTCTTTTCATGCCTTGCACCAGGGCCTAGGATCAAATTTTGGAGACCCCAGGGCAGCGAAGGCCTGGACAGTGATGGGGAGCATCACATCACCAGGCCAAGATTCCCAATATTAGACTTCAAGGTGAAAATGTGCCCTGCCCCTCCTGAGGACAGTGAAAGGAATCACCTTCAGCAGAGGGAAGTTGGCCAGAAGGCTGGGGTCAATCTCTTCCACATAGTAGAAAAGTTCAACCAGGTAAATGTCAGCCCTGCTCAACTTGTTGCCAACCAGGTAGTCTTGTCCGTGGCTCTTCAACACCTGGTGAATTTGAGGGATCAGATTAGGAACACAAGCACGCTCGGGCTGGGTCCCCCTGCCCCTGCCCAGCTCTCTCCAGCCCGACTTTCCCATCTCTACTGCGTCACTGGGCGGTGTGGAGCATTGGACCACATTCACCGCCCCTGATTCAGTGAGACAGACAGAAGTGGGTCTCTGCTGTCCTTTCCTCACTTCTGAGCTGAAGCCCAGGCTACCATATCCTTTTCCCATCCCCACACCACTGGGGCTCCCTTACATGCGTCTTCTGCTGGCCCGGGTCTCAGCACCAGCTGCACCGTGTTTCTGCTACGTGCCCTGAAGTCCCAGCAGCTCTGAGAATTCAGGACACGACTCTCCATGCTGCTGCAGTGCAATCGTGCATCCTTCCCCACCCCCCTGCCCCGTCTCTCTCTCATTTGGGCAAAGGCTCCATCTTCATGACATCCTCCTTCAATCCTGAGCAGACTATTTCAGAGTCTACATTTCTCTTCTGTCTGTTCTCTTCATTTCCTGGTCTAGCTCTCTGGGACCTGAAATAAATCTGTGTCAACTTGAACTCACCATCTCCTTTACAAAATCAGCTCTGACTCCTAACTTGCACTATGTTAAGATCTGCATGCTGAAGTGTCTAGGGGTGAACTGCACTGATGATTGACACTCATTTTGTAATACATTAGAAGGTAATATGTTTGACTGCTAGAGAGAGGGATCGAGAGAGAGAAATCTATATAAAGCAAACAATGAAAGGTGAATTTTATGCTCTCCTGGTGGATGCATATGTGTTCATTGTATATTTATTTCAACTTTTTTGAGTGTATGAAATTTTTCATAATAAAATGTTGAAGAAATATGTAGTACTTATTAAAATATTCCAGCAATATGGAAATCGCAAAGTATAAAGAGAAAAAACACACATAGCACCACCAACTAATGATAATAACATTTTGGCAAATATCCTCTCAGATTATGTTTACATATAGAAGGTTAGGTAATTTTTGACAAAGAATATAATAACATCGACACCTATTTTGTAAAATACATTTTTTAATTTATGTTATCATGGGGCCCTTTGATTTCAAAGTATAAGTATATCGAACTACTGAGACGAAAGAGTTTGTCATTATGTGAAGTTTCCCTAAACTGTCAGCACTACAAGGACCAGGAAGGTGTATTTTTCGGATTACATTAAATTCTTCACTCATTAATATGGATGGACACACAAGCAATGAATTAATATTTGTAGAATAAATAAAAAAAAGAATGCTTTATAATTCTTTGTAAAGATGAAGGTGTCAGCACTAAACCTTTTATTTATATGGAAGACTCCTGTATCTCTTACAATCATTATTTTGGTTTATAATTTTTATTTAGCATGCTTTCAGGTAGTTTTGATCTTGATATGTTCTCCTACCTTCAAAGAGAAACATTAACTAAGATACGCATTATGTACAGTGATAGAACTTTATTGCCTTAGTTTGGCACTACTTTCCTTAAAAGTCTGAGAGCCATGTCCATAAAACACGTAGACTCTTTGTTACTTAACATGTTTTCATCTGTCTCTTCCTCTCCAACCTGCTGCCACATCTCTGTTTAGATACATCTCACCCATCCCCGAAACACTACCATATTCTCTGGATGGGCAGCTGGCCTCTGGTCTCCCCACACATGTCGCCAGAATATTTGCCGATGAATTGCTTTCATCGTATTCCCCGTGGATGAAAAGCACCTGCTCCATGTTCTGTAGGACCTACTCTAATTGCTAGTGTGCCTCTCAGCCTTCCACAGCCCACACTCTCTGACCACGAATTCCATCCAATGGAGAATTCTAATCGGGGCCTAGTAAACTGAAACTTTGCTGAAAGGTTGTAACTTGGGTATAACAGGTACATAGCCTCCTGACTGCTGATTTTTTAAAAGCCTAGAGAGTCAGGGTGCTACAGTAGTACTCAGGAGTGCTCACGGGAAGGGAAGGGCAAAGCCTCAAGAACGCCCAGGAACGATTTTTCTTTGTGCGCTAATCTCAGTGCCCCCAAATGCTGAATAGCCCACTTACTTTTTCAAAGGCAGGGAAATAACGGGTGGTTACTTTCTCTTTGATCAAGGCGATCTTGGCATCTATCTCGTTGGGCGGGCATAGTAGCAAAGTCAGGATCATTTCATTCAAATCTGCCATGCCTTCTGTATACATATCAATCCTGAAAGACAAAAACGACCAAATCGTTGAACATCTCCTGCCTTAGATGTTATAGTTTAAAAATGTGAAAGAATGGGGTTCTTTTGTGTCCTTCCTTTCCTCAGCCTTATCCTCGTAAAGGCCTGAGCACACGGAGTCATGATCCACCAGCCTCCTGGCTTCACAGTTCCTCAGGGTTTGGAAACCTCTGTCATTCTCTGTGCAATATCCGTGAGCTGCATCCTCTTCTACAATCCCACTTGCTTAACTCCACACCAAGTGGAACCCTCATCCTCATAGCTGTCTGCTGTACTGGACCTCAGTCTATACTTCGATGGCCCAGGTTGCTGCCAGCCATTATCCCCCCGACACAGCCCTGCCCATTCATGGAAGGATCTGTATGGTTCCTCAAAATTGTTGATGAAAGAACAGAAAAAGTATCGTACAGGGCTCTCTCCTTTATGTCTTTCCCATAGAGGTTGTATTTGGTGGCGATGTAGTTGAGAATGGCTCTGGACTGTACCAGCTTCATTCCATCAATTTCGACCATGGGCACTTGCTGGAATATCAAACCGCTATCTTTTGAAAGAAGAAAACAAAAAGTAGAGTGAAATGTCTTATGCAGCACACTATTAGGATTAAAAAATATTTGTTAAAATGACTGGAAATATACAATGAAACTAAAATGACTTGGTGACACTTTGGTAGAATGGCATTTGGTTTTTAGCTTTTTATAGTTCTTCCTTTTCTTATCAGTCTGCCTTTTACTTTTTGACCTATTATTTCATTTATCTTTTTATATCCCATCAGATACATAGTAGGTCTCTTGTAATTTTGTGCCAACTTGCCTCATGGATAATACATAAGAAGTTGGGGAGAGTCTACAACAGGGCTGCCAGCCACCTGGCATTTAAATGGGAAGTTCCCAAAGGAACTTTCACAGTATTCCTGGCATACAAGCAAGTTTAGATGGAGATTTTTACATAGGGATCCCTTTCCCTGATCTTCACCATCTGCAATATTGCTAGTATATTATCTTGCAGTAAAGTAAGAGATAACTCAAGGTAACTGCTGGGCCTATTTCTGTTCTTGTTACTCTGATGCATGTGTTTGAGTGTCCTTGGTAGGCAGGCTGTGGGGGTCTTGAAATGATATAGCTCACTCATGATGCAGAAAGTCAGGAGAGAGCAGGAGGTAGCATTCCGGGAGACCAGGGACGGTTCTCTTAGCAAGTACTCAGAGAGGTCAAGCCCATCCTAGCTCTGAGCAAGTTATAGACCTGCTCAGGGAGCCCCACCCCTTACAATGAACCTCATTCCTCCCTTTCCAGCCCCCACCTTCCCAACACACACACACACACACGCACACACACACACACACACACACACACTGCCTGGTGTCAAAACTCAACTGTGATGTCTACTAGATTAGTGGAACTTAAATATTTGGTCTTACCTTTTTTTAACTTTTCAAAGTCTTCTAGAGTTTCTATAAATTTCTCTTCAAACTGGAAAGCAGAAACAGTAAGGGAGTTCTTGCTATTTCATTCCATGGCATTATGTTACTTTTAATTTTGAGTGATCCTCTGATATATAATATGGAGGAGGTAAGATTTCTGACTTTCGCACACTACATACAAGAGTGTGATCATGGCCTTTTGGAAATTTGGATTAGAGCCATCAAGGAAAGAACATGGGCTATAGCCCATAACCACTCATATCTGGAGGTTCAGTTCATCCCACCCTGCTTTCATATCTGACAATGATTAGATCACGATTTGGGAGGGGGTGTTATTGAAGGGAATGGACTGGAAAGTTCTTCTAGTTGTGGAGTTTTAGTATCTCATGAAAGCCCTCTCTCCACATGAGACAGAACAGGGCATTGTGTGTCCCCCAGCAAGGGGTATGCCATGAGGCCCATGACCATCTGAGATGCTGCCACCAGGGACCTCTGCTGTCATTGACATCGCTGCATTTCATTTTCCATTTTAAACTGGGTGCTTTATGGTAAAAGTTTTGGAATTTGGGGTTTCTAACTTGCTCAGTGGAATAGTCTGTTGTGTGGATTTACATGATCCCATAGGGTGAGACCATATAGACAGTGAATTGTGTGAGCAGCAGCAATTTATGAAACTCCCAGTCCTAGACAAAGATAAGGGATGCTAGGTGGTCATCACGGGAGGGTAGCAAAGGTAGGATGGTTTTGGCTCATGTGCGGGAGGCCGATGGGATCGTGGGGATCGGCCTTTGGGCACAGAGAACCCAGAAGTTCTGTCCGAGAGCCTGACCAAGAGTCGACTAAGATGGCGTAATGGAAGCCCGGGATGCTCTCGGCATCACCCCCTACTCACTCTCTCATACTGAATCCATCTGACCTTCAAAACTGAAGTCTGGACTACAGTGCAAACTTTGAGTTATTGGTTTATAGAGAAAAAAACAACCTGGCATGGCATGATTTGTATTTTTTGTGTTCTTGTTGCTTCACGAAATTAAGAAAGGGCTGGGCTAAAGTCCCCATACCTTCATGTAGTAATCAAGAAAGTGTAACCCAAGCCTTAGGTAAGCATGTTATCATGAGGCTGAGAGGAGCGAACTAGAAGCTCCTGTCACATGACGCCACCTCACCTGAAACCCTCCCTTACTGCTCTAACCTGAGGGACCAGATCTCCTGAGTTTATCTATGACTCCCTCCCCTGAAGACTCTCACAGAGTTGCTGGGTTCTTGTTATCTGGACTGAGAAGTGTTTTTCTCATGGACACCTCTGGAGGGCAGCACTCAGCAGAGTCCCATGGAAATCGACCATGGGGAATATGGCATTTCGACACTGTAAATGCTGGGGGATCCTAGATACTCCCACCCTTCCTTTTATTCACCCGTTTACTTGTCTGCAGCCTCACTAGAATGTTAACTTTCTCAGGGCAAGGACCTTGTCTGTCTAGTTCATTTGTGTATCCTCAAGACCTAGAACAGAACCTGGCCCTAAAATCATTACTGAGTGGGTGTATTAAATCTTTAACAGGCAGTTTCTTCCAATCTGCCCCTCCCCATATTTCTGATTTATGTTCAACTTTAATTACATTTATTTTCTAATTTTTATATTTTGTCTTTTTATTATGGAAATTTCTAGCATGCATAAAAATAAGCAGAAAGTGGTCATCTTTACACCCATCACCCAACTTCATTAATTATCAGCTCTAGCTAATCTTGTGTCATCTATACACCCACCTACTCTTGCACTCATAATAATTTGAAGCAAATTCTAGATATCATATATTTCATCTTTAAATACTTCAATCGTTACCTCTAAAACATAAGAACTTTTTAAAATAACCACAATACATGATCACACCTAAAAAGTCAAAAATAATTCTTTAGTATTATCTAATAATCAGCGTTTATGTTTCTAATATTGCATAAATGTTACAAATGATATTATATGGTTCATTCAAATTCAAATAAGGCTCATACATTGTGATTAGTTTCTTCAAGTGATTTTAAATGTTTATGTTCTTTGATGAGAAGAATTTTAATAATATTTTACGTCAAATCTTTTCATCTCTTAATAACTGATAGTTTTTGTTTTAATGCGAAACTCTTGACTGGTCATTAGTAAGAAATGTTTCTTAGATTAGTGAGAAAATACTTAGATAAGTCAATTTTAGATCCAACTTAAGATGACAGAGCTCAGAACTGACCTCTACTCCTGCAGCAGCCAAGAGCCACCGGATGGACTCCATTCGTCCTCGTGCATTGAAGTAGTGAAGCTTGGGTTTCCCCGCCATGATGTAGTCTCCTGGTTTCTCTAAACCTACAGAAAGGAAGAAACCACAAAAGCAAAAATGTACATATGACATGTGATCGAACAGCACCTAAATGCTCAAGTCTACCTTCTTGTGACAGAGTTGGAAGAGTTCCTAGCAGGCATTCCCTGGCTTAAATTCTTACCCATCAGCAGCTAACCCTGGAAAATTGCTTCAAACCATTCTTATGTCTCTAGTGGATAAAATCATATTGTCTTGGCCGGCTAATAGGTGAGAGTCTGATATGAGTGGATGTGCAGGTAGTAGGGGAAGGGAGATGAATTAAAAAACTGATATCTGTTGAAAATCTCCTAATGATCCTGACCCAATGTTCATCCTCTCGGACACGTTATATCTTTAAACCTCATAACGGCCGCATGAACTAGTTGTTATTATGCCCATTATTCACTTCACAAAACCAAGGCCTGGAGGTTAAATGACATGTCCACAGTCACACTCCAGGTAATGAGGGACCTAAAAATCCACTAAAAAAGAGCAGGGTTGGAACTCACCCAGGTGCAAGTTTCTTCATGAAATTAAGAAAGGCCTGGGCTAAAATCCCTATGCATTCATGAAACAATCAAGAAAGTATACTCCCAGGCTTAGGTAAACACGTTATTATGGATCTGAAGAGAGCGAAAATGTTTTCGATATCCATGTTGTTGCTGTGAGATGCAGTAGTCTAAGCTTTAGAAAGTAAAGAATGTTTCGGAAACATACTTCATAAACTCACCTGTCTTGAAAATGGAGATTCTGTTTATCGTACTTACTTATCATGGGAAATGGAGATGCTATGATTCAGCAGAATGAAAAGGAGGATGAAATCTGTACTAATATGTGAAATGTGTTTGTTATGGACTGGAATTCACAGAGCTTAGTGACTCAAACCCTCACGCGAAGCTCCCTTACCCATTCACTGAGGATCTAGTTACAAAGGGAAATACTTTTTATCTTATATAATATTTCCTCATAACACTCCTCCTTATAAGCCACTTTTTTCACCTTCCACATAGGAGGTACTCGATGTCCTGATCGAGAGTGGGGCAAAGGTTGCCATGAAACTTTGCCTCATCAACAGAGAATGAGAACTAGTGAGATTCAACAATTTGCCAGAGGTCACACACATTTGTTCTGATTTACACTCAAAATCTAACAAGTGTGTCTACCCCCTACAATGACCCTGGGAAAGAGCTTCTAACATCCTGTTTTAAAGATGAGAAAACTGAAGTTCAAAGAGACAAAGTACCTCTTCTATGCTCTTATGTTTTGCAAGCGTTGGATTTCAGGTCTGGGCCCTTTTCACTCCACCATGTAACACTTTGGCATGCTCTGTGCTTCTCTCTGAGAACTTAGTTTATTTCTCAGAGCTTGAACTTAGTTTATTTATCATTTGAAGTCTCAAGACTACAGCAGTTCCTGGCTCTGCTCTGACCTTGTACTCCATGAGCCTTTCTCTTCAGCAACACTCCCCTACATACACATACCATTTGCTCCTTGACCCTTGCACTCTGGAATCTTCCCTTTCCAAGAGTCCTTTACCATGCAAATGAGAGATCCACTGTTTCTGTCTCCTGCGATTCACTGCACTAGTGCAGTCTCATGTCAACACCGATGGAAGTGATCACTTCTCTCCAACATCATGCTCCTTACCGTGAAATGCAAACATTTCACAGCTCCCTCTTCGACACCTTGTTTCTGGTTTACATGTAATATATTTCCTTCTATTAAAACTTTTCCGTCCAAGCTTCTCAACTAATACTCCTTGAGCAGTTTCATGTACTACGAAATGATAGCTGGCTGGGAACAGGATACAAGACTAATTTGGTCTCTGCTCTAAAGGGGTTTCGATCTAGTCAGAAAGACCGGTTTGTAGACAACTGACAGTGCACAAAGAGCCCAGCAGTGACTTTGTGTTAATTGGTTCCAACCCAAGAATTATGATTCTCTTAGTCAGCATTTGAGCAAGATGAGGAGGCTGGCAAGCCGAGAAGCTGAACAGGCAGTGTTGGCTCTTACATTCTGATTTGAATGACTTTTACATTCTAGCTAGGTGAATTTCTGTTCTTTTTAAAAACTAATTATATGTTCCCATGATCTAGTTTTCCCACCAAGACTTTCTGAGTTTGGGAGTTTTGAGAAGTTGTGTAATCCAGTGGTTGTACCCCCCACCCCAGAAGACATTTGGTAATGTCTGGAGACATTTTTGATTGTCCAAGTAGGCGGAGGGTGCTACATCTGTTGGTAGAGACCAGAGATTCCTCTGACAAGGAGTGGGGCTATGCCTTCGATGTGCATCTGAATGCTATTTATCTGCCCTTAGTCATGCTGCATGTTATCCAGCTTTTTTCATTAACCATGGTATCCTAACAGACACAATTTTTTAAATATTTAGTTGGAAATGCCTTATGGTTGATTGCAGTTGGCTATTAGATCTATGCAATCTTTCCAGGACAAAGTCGTTTTGAAAAATGCAGTAAATCTTCTCTATCTATTTGCATCTCTCATTCAACTCTAGACTGTAAATAGCACTAAAGTGGAACTTTACCTCACTCTGTGTTCTTTCTACAAGTGCAGACTGGAATGAAGAGAAAAAGTGAGAATATTAACCTCGACTGCATTAACAGTATTGATGAAGTGATGATTTCTTGTAAAACTTGTAAATGAACGATCACTGTAAATATCTTAAAGGTGTAAAGTTTGCAAATTTAGAGAAATACGTATGTTAACAGTACTGTCAAATACATTCCTTCGAAATGAATTAGATGTATATTTCTACAACATAACAGAAACTTTTTAACCAACAAAAAAGAACAATGAACAGGACAGCTCCCTACAACAAAGAATTACCCTGCCCGAAATGCCAATAGTACCAAGTAGAGAAATCTGCTCCAGCCATTTACTAGACTTGCCTACCATGAGTTGGTTGAACCCTAGAGAGAGAGCAGGACTTGCCAGGTAGCTAATCTCAGCAAAGACTGAGTACAATCTAGTTCTGCTGACAGTCAGACTAATCTCATCCTGTTATAATAAATTTTTATTTTGAATTTTCACAACCTTACAGTATCACCATTCATAACTGTTGTGTGTTGGCTACTTCAACAGAGAAAGTAACTTTAGTATAATCATCTATATGCTCTCCCTCTTGCACTGGTCATACTCTCAGATTGTCTAAAATGATATCATTCTTTTTTCTCCCATATTATTATTTTTTTCTCATATCTAAATGCTTATGCCCTAGTTTTCTAAAGTCTTCATTTTTACCTTTCTGTAAAGATGTATTCAACGGCCATTGAATAAACAACTCTTGAACTGTCCCTTAAGCACACCAAGAAGGCACTATGTGAGTATAAAGCAGACATTTTCTTGTGCTAAGGATACATTTTAAAATATTTTTTGGTGCCTTAGATGTGAGGCTTTGAGGCAATGTATAAAGGCTTATAAAATCAGTACTTACCTTTTTAAAGTCTGTCTCTCACTTGGCTCAGCGACTGAGTGCCAACCTCTTATGTGCCTATCGGCTGTTTTTACAGTGGAATAACTCCTGCTCTCTGAAAGGAGTGGCTTCCAGATAGAGAAAAGCCACTCCCTCAAAGATCAGAGTTCATGGATACCATGCTAGATTAGAAGGAAAATGAAAAGTCATCCTATCATGAAATAACTGGTTAATGTGTTCCTTTTCAAGGTCGATAAATAAAAGATTAAACAAAAAATTTTAGATTGTTGAACTCTCTCTACCAGTCAGTGAGATACGGCTTTTGAAAAAACTGTGAGGTTTTCATGAATTGGATGCAAAGATTAAAGCAGATGAGAAACCTGTACTGTGAGCAGAGCAGGGAGCTGATATTCAGTAAAAGGCAAGCTGATCTCTGGAATACCTTTTAGGACACACTTATGCTAAAAAATTGTTTATCGTTTATCTGAAATTCATATTTAATTGGGTGTCCTGTATTTCCACTAATAAATTTGGCAACTCAATTAGTATACTTTCTCCTCTCTGCCACATTCAAATCAGCCTTCCTAGCCTTTGGGCCTTAGCATGTGCTATTTGTTCTGTCTGGAATACTCTACTTTAAGCTACTACTATATTTCCCCTATTATGTCTTTCCTTTCCTTACATTATTTTGACATTATATCCTTAATATCAGTTTCCCCACAGTCTGTGATATCCTGGGGGTAAGACCTTCATCTTGTTTTCGGTCACAGCTCCTACGATTGGCACATAGTAGGAGCTCAATAAATAACATAGTTTTTAAAAATTATTAAGTGGAAAATTTCCGGCAAATACAAATATAGAAAGAAGAATAGTAGAAAGTAAAGAAAACCCCCATGTACTTATCCCTGTGTTTCAGCGATCGCCAACCATCTTTTTTCATCTACACCCTAACATGGGTGGTATGGTGGCCTCCTAAAAATATAGGTCAACATCCCAAACCCTGGAACCCGTTAACGTGACCATATTTGGAAAAAGGGTCTTTGCAGAGATAAGTAAGCAAAGGAACTTGACATCATCCAGGATTATCCGGGTGGGCCCTAAAGCCAATGAGAAGTGTCTTTACATCAGAAGAGAAGACACAGACAAGCAGAGGGCGAGGTGATATGAAGATGGAGGCAGAGGGTGGAGTGATGTGACCATGAGCCAAGGAAAGCAAGGAATGTAAAAAGCCACCAAAAGCTGGAAGAGGCAAGAAAGAGTTTTCCCCTAGAGCTTCTGGAAGAAGTACAGCCCAGCCAACTCCTTAACTTTGAACTTCTGGCCTTCAAAAGTGTGAGAGAAGATGCCCTGTTGTTTTAAGCCACTCAGTTTGTAGTAATTTGATATAGCAACCGCCAGAAACTAATATATGCTTCCACCTATTGCTCTCACAATCATGGGATTATTTGGAAGAAAATCCTAGATAACCTATCACTACAGCTATCAAAAAGTTAGCATAGTAATTTTTAACAGGTAAAGACTTTTTTGAAAAATAAATAGTAATATTCTCCAATCATACTAAAATTTAGAATTCCT